TCAGTTAGGTTTAAGTTTAAGACCAATGTTATTGCAAGGTCATGTTACGCTCCAACTTCCATACATTATGCTACTAAATGATACTGAATACTGTAAAAATGTCGTGAATTTGCTGTGCAGTCGGCATAATATAATACACAAATATTCAGTTAGGTTTAAGTTTAAGACCAATGTTATTGCAAGGTCATGTTACGCTCCAACTTCCATACATTATGCTACTAAATGATACTGAATACTGTAAAAATGTCGTGTATTTGCTGTGCAGTCAGGCATAATAATAATACACAAATATTCAGTTAGGTTTAAGTTTAAGACCAATGTTATTGCAAGGTCATTTTACGCTCCAACTTCCATACATTATGCTACTAAATGATACTGAATACTGTAAAAATGTCGTGTATTTGCTGTGCATTTAGGAGTTTTACACGTAAACTGCAATGTCACTCGTATGTTATGAAGCTGGGTCAGAAAGACCCTGTTATCTAACATCGCTTTTTTGACATGTGCAGTTTCTAGGTTTAGTTTTTCTATCTGACAAACGCCTGACTGCACAGCAACCACATGACTTTTGTCAATCTTTAGTATGGAAAGTTTTTCACAACATAGCCTTGCCATAACATTGGTCTGTTCTGCGTCAGAATCGGTCTATAAGTTGAGTTTTTTGACTTTAATAGAGTAAATCAAAGTATAAATTATAAATTTTACTATCTCTTACCAATGTTTGTTCATCGTCATCGAATCCAAATGCAGAAATGAGCAGTTTTCTCAGGAGCAGCAAATCGCTGCAAGCGAAGGGCCCGTTGTTGCCGCTTGCTGCGCCCGCGGAGCAGGTTTCGCGGGCGTGCTTCAAATATTTTTTTCCACTGATTGTGTTGAAATCTTCCTCACTATCTGAAAACAAAAAAAAGATAGAAACTAGTTGGTATTGGTATTTTGACTTGAGGCGAGTTACATGAACTTCTCGAAATGTGTGAATAATCGACTTAATCAATAAAAAATCAATTAATTTATGAGTGATTATAAGTATTCCAAGTGGATTTATTACACATCATTGAAAACAAACGAACACGTTAACTCGTAGTATTTTTTAAAAGCAAATTTTCAATTTTCATAATTGAACCAGTTTTTGTAGGACTTTGATGGTTTACTATGTTCAAGACACACACACACACACATACTTTTTCCGAATTTGGTCTCATTCGATTCAGAATGGCTTAAAATGTCGAGAAAACATAAAATTAGCGAGTCGGATTTTTTTATGAAAACAAAGTTCTCCTTCGGGAAGTTAAAAACTAAATGAAATACAGATTTATACTCTTTTAATGGGACTTTTAGTAGATTTTTTTTAAAGGACGCCATTTCAAAGTCGACTAATTTGGGAAATTTTAAAATTCATTTTTGCTTTACTTAAAACTGAATATTACGAGTCCTAATTGTATCGCCTTAAAAAATGTTATCTCCCAAACACATTTATTAAATTAGTAATCATATTAATTATAGTGCACAAACACGTGTCTGTATGTTTTAAAAGCGCTCTTATTCCAAAATTTAATGAATTTATATAATTCAATAAATTTTTGTAGGACTGTTTAGTGCATGAACGTTATCGCCATGTTAATTTGTTATGATAAACGCCGAAACAGTTTTATCTAACAAGTAAGTAAGTAAGTATTGTTTTAGGCAACTGTTCTAAAAAAATTCTGGCACTATTACATATTTTAATTTATGGTAATTTTTTTACACAATTAGATAAGTTTTGTAGACTGCTCATTAGGTGACCTGATACAAACGATCTATTTAGATAATTAATAATTAATTTTTATGAACAAGGTACAAATCCATAAACTCGAGACAGTAAGATTTTACAAACATGGTTACAACTAGTTGGTATTGGTATTTAGCCTTGAGGCAAGTTACATGAACTTCCCGATATGTGTAAATAATCGACTTAATCAATAAAAAATAAATTAATTTATGAGTGGATTTATTAAACATAATTGAAAACGAACGAACACGTTAACTCAGAGTATTTTCAAAAAGCAACTTTTCAAAAATCAACAATTATTATATTTGAATCAGTTTCCGTAGGATTTTAATGGTTCAGTATGTTTATTAAGACCAAGTACTATATTGTTATACCAAGTAAATCGTCTAATTTTAATTTCAGCTAACGTCAAAAAAAAAAAAACTACTCATTTTCTCAAACTTTGATGAATTTTTAAAATTAAACTACTTGTCGTAAGGCCGTAATATTACAGTAAGTTCTATAAGACCATGATATATATTATATATATATATATATATATATATATATATATATCTAAAAAAAATTCCATAAAAATCGGCTTAAATTTTTTTTTCAACAGTTAATTACAAGAAAACGGCTCGGTAGATTTTCACCTAAAATTAATCAGTACCATTCCCAACTAATATCTTTCGAATAGTTTTTGATTTTTTAAAATCGGTTCGATAGGATGAGCTTAAATGTGGACGAAAAGTTTAACACTTTCTTTCAAATTACAAAGAAACGGCTTGGCAGATCGTCGCACAAAACTGACAAACGATAGTCCTCACCGAAATACATCAAATAGCTTTTAAATTTCTGAAATCGGCTCAGGCGTTTTTGAGAAAACGTCGATGAAAGGTCTAATTTTGACAAATGACAAAAAAACGATACCAATTTTTGCAAACTTTGACGAATTTTTAAAGCTAAACCAGTTGTCGTAGGGCCGTAATATTTTAGTATGATATAGAAGACTATGATATCTACCGTCAAAAAAATAATCATAAAAATCGTCGAATTTTTTTTTTTAAAAACTTTATTACAAGAAAACGGCCTGGCCGATCTCTACCAAAAACTAATCAGATCGATTCTCAACCAATATCTTTCGAACGATTTTTGAATTTTCAAAATCGATTCAGAACTGTGGGCTAAAACGTGGACGAAAAACTTTTCACTTCTCTGCTATTTACGAGGAAACGGCTTGGCCGATCGACAAACAATAGTCCTCATCGAGATACTTCGAATGGCTTTTAAATTTTTGAAATCGGTCCAGCCGTTTTTGAGAAAACAGCGATTTACGGCAAAAAATCTGTTGGTGCACACGCACACACACATACACACACACACACACACATACTTTTTCCAAATTTGGTCTCATTCGATTCAGAATGGCCTGAAACGTCGAGAAAACATAAAATTAGCGAATCGGATTTTTTGATGAAAACATAAACTTCTCCTTCGGGAAGTTAAAAAATGAATTAAAAAAATTAATTAGCTCTAAT